ATCCTACCATAGGCTTTCAGCAATTGCTGTGTGTTTTGGTAATTTAAAAATCGCAACCGGTACTATAGGCGGTATAAATTACTGTACATAATAAAATGTCAAGCTCCCACCACAAAACGATGAGGACCGATGTGACGTGAGTGTTTTGCGTAAAAAATTTTTTTTTAATGGCCAAGCAATACATTCCCCTCTTCAGAATTTTCCAAACTTCCATGGGAATCTGCCTAGTGATACGCATGCGTAGTGCTTCCATGCTTATCTCCTCCTTGGTTAGCTCCTGCCTAGCGCTCACGTGTTCTCCGATTCAGACATAGACGAGACTAGACCTTCATTTAGCGGGGCATTTTAACGGTAGGACTTTGCCGGGGATGTACGTTAAAACAATTCCCCGCATTGCCGTGAGGAGAGGAGGGGGAAAGGGAGGAGGAGGGGGAAGGGAAAGCGAGACAACTATTGATAAGTGCATAAATAGTGCGACAACCGCGCCTTTCCGCCGTGATTATAATGAGTCGATTGTCGACAAATGATACCGTGATTTAAAATAGCCAATCGTTCGTGATACCCAGAATTAACGTAGACGTACCTACACTGTATGGCAAGTATTTATTTTAGCACGTGGTCTGTTTCGCGCTGCTCTAGTCTATAAATACCAGACAAATTCAAAAACCCTGTGCACACAGCCATCATATAATAGTTCGGTTGGACAAAATAAGATGTCTGTAATTGAAGACTATTAACAACTACAGCCATAGGACACATCTATAGGCCGAATTCTTCAAAGACGACCTAGCGTATTTCTTGTGTGGTGAATGCTATCAGAGGACACAGAAAGGCTGGTTAAATTGGGTTCATAGTAAATAAAACATCATTCCCTTCGAAGAGATGCGTTAAATTTAGGATTTATTGTACTAACAGACAGAGAAGACCATTTATTCACAACCCAATTCACATGTACAGTGCTGATTTTAATAGATACACTAACTCTTGTCAATAATTTTATATTATGTATTATTTATGTCCGTCGATTATTTTGTCTATACTAGTGATTTTTTACTCATTTTGTATCAGGAGACGAATTTTTCTTTTTCGTTACGTGACAATAAAAGAATCTCGTACTGTTGCTTTACTTTTCTTTTGTTTTCTACATCATTATGCACCGATCTGCTTTACATGCGCCCAATTAAAATCAATAACAACAATAGTGCAACAAGTCGTGCACCGAATCTGACATCAGTCACACCCTACTGTCGCCCGTTGTTCTGGTGACGCCCAACACTTTAATACTTCTTGTATATCATATACAGTACAGTAATGGAAAAAAAACTAGTGAAGCACAGTGGTGGATCAGTATTGCGTATCTCGCAATTCTCATTATAGTTCAATCGAAAATTATATTTTATTACATAATCATGAATACAGTCATAATACACCACATTGTTTCGATACTGCACCGATTGTTTCTGCATTGAAATACCTTATTTTTTACACTAGGACTAGCCAGGGCCCAACTACTTGGAGTATAATTTATCATAACATAATATATTGCAGTTAGTACTTTATTATACATTAAGAATGTGAGTACTTCTGTAATATTAAATAAATCGCCAACTGCAGAGCCAGAAATCGACTGCATCTGTATGCTAGGCTACTGTCATTTTGATTGTATTGATCGTCAGTCAGCGGAGGAAAATGACATTTTCAAATGATGTATGACTCAAAAACAAAAGTAACTGACGGAATTATAGGTTTCCCTGTTACAACAACGACACATACGTACGCATCCATATTGTGTACTACAGGGCTTGAATAGGGATTGTTAATTTGACGTGATCGACATTGATAAACAATTTCGGGTAGACGCGAGTGCGTCTAAATAACAATGTTTAGACGGTGTAGGCCTTGAACGGACGCGTCATGGACGCAAACAGGACGAAAACTGGATGCGTCTGTTGCGTCTAAAAATTTGCATTTTTTATGGACGGTACTGTATGTTGTCAGCTCAGACATCCAAGGAAGGTTGAGTGCCATCATCAGAGACAAGCTCTTATGGTAGAAACTGCGGATTGGAGGTCAGATTATCATCATTGCAGACATTTGAAATTTTTGATACAAAATCTTAATTATCACTATGTTAAGATGGATACATACTCGACCTCATATAACCTCGAATGTTTATAATTTAGCTTTATTGGTTCACAGATCTTTCCACGTAGTTTGCATTGTTTTAAGTGTAGTTGAGCGGCATTTGTGCCAGACTATAAAGCCAGGCATGCATGGGAATATATCCTTCATGCAAAAATTTGGCCTAGAAATTTGTCACACATTTTGAGTAGTAAAGAAGACTTGCCAAAAATTAGTTTTCGATCTAATCTATAGGCACATAGAAAAAATCATTAGATTATCTCTCTTTTTTAATAAAAAAAATTCGAGGGAGGGCGTTTTTTTTTTTATCAGAATAGATTATTTCACCTTTGTTTTTATCGATGAGGGAGGGACAGTTTATATTTGGCCTGTAATAGTGAATATTGTATAAAAAACTGGTTTAATTTTATAGTTGTTTTTTTTTAAAGAAAATGTATTTGAAGTCACAAAATTGCATTGTTATTTTTATGCTGTTGAAATAATTGATGTGGCAAAAAAAAATTCTTTTTTATTTCCGCATCAATATTTCCCTAATTTTTGACGCGGGCGGGAGTGATAGACTAATAAATTTTTCTATTTGCCCTAACAATGTATAATTATGTAGTAATTACGATTCTGTTCACCTATTTTCCTAGCGATTTTTCATGCAAATTTGAGCCGATTTTTTATCAAGATTCAAGATACATAGTACATACTGTATATATGAGATTTTTTCTTTGAGTTGATAACAGTAGAAATCGAAAACATCACTATAATATACAAGACAACAATTAACAGATATAATATTAAATACTAATATAACAATATATATACACATGGAAATTAACAAGGTTGAACTATATTGTGAGGTCCAGGAGAGGAATAAGGCATGGAGTGTAGTATAGTGAAATACAATAGATAAGCTTGATGATGAAATTATCAACTGAAGTGTTCGTTTAAAGACTCTTATTGCAGATGGTAAAAATGAGTATTTATGAGTATTTTTCAAATGCGCAATTAAAAAACTTCACAGTATGTTATTTATGGTGCTGCTGATGCAAAGGCATGTTTAAATGAATAATTTTTAAAAAACCCGACTACAATTATACAAACAAAATTATGTTTTACATAAATGTGAATTGATGTAATGTTTGAGCCTTCAAATACTACTTTAATATATTATGCACAGCCTAGCTTTGCAATTGTAAATTTAAATTTTAAAAAGGGCATTAGTAGAATAGAGTAACTGAATTTATTGTTAATTTACACTTCTTGAATTGAAAATTTACTTATATAGGCATTTAACATGGGCACTTCCTAATCCTAGCCATATTATTTAGGCATTGAATATCTCGCGGCCGAACCGGACGTCATTCCACTAGGCCAGCTCCCTGATTCTGCTGTGCACATTAAAACCAGTGGAGCCAAAGGTACCAGCCACGTGTTGCAATGGCAATGCGGCAAGCGAGGAGTACAAGCTAAGTAAGCAAGTAAACCTCGGCCTTATTATTAACTTATCATTAGCAGAATATTCAAGACTATTACTTCATTAGACCTATGACCTGCATAGCCTTTAATTATTCATATACTGTCTTTAACATTTTAACCTGAGTTCTATTTTTATTGAATTCTTTCTCGGTTAAAGATCACAAAAACTACCTACCTATACTGTCAGTACCACGCTCCAAAAAGGCATGCGTGACGGGCTCATTTCAATTTATACCACCAGTGTGACGTTGGGGGCGGGCTTTAGCTTATTAATGTTCTTGTTTTTTCTTCGCCTTTTTTCATTTTCGGGAGGCTGCTTGAAAATTTGATGCCCGTTGTCAAGGAAAATTATTTACTTTGTTTTTCACGTAGGTTTTGATTGTTATGTTTTATAATTTTTTTTATCATTTCCACGATGAACTTTTGCTAAATAGGTAGAATAAGAGCTAGGCCTAGTAGTAGTGCCAGTGGTCCTAGGATACTTAGGCCCTAGGCCTACTTGTTGAAACTTTACCAAAAACGGTAGGTAAGTAGGGCCTAGCCTCTAGGCCTAGCTAGCCTCACTCAGGCTCATCTCAATCAAACAGCTGGCTTGGCCTAGGCTAGGCACAATAGGCCTAGACCTAATCATAGTAAAGAATACTAATAGAGGCCTAGGTGGCCTACTACTTGCATTTGTAGTACTGTAGTTAGAGTTAGAGGAGGCCTTGACATAACCATCTAGCCTGCTAGGCTAGGCCTAGATAAACTAGGCTAGAGCTAGCCGGGATATGACCGGTTGAGCCGTCGACAAGTTGAGCCGCCGGTAATTTCTATGGAAATATGTGTATAAGAGACAGATTCTACACTACTATGGGAACCTCTGTATCGGGCAACAGCCAAAATTCCCGTTGCCAATGGTGACTGTCTCAGTTTAACAAACCTGTTATCTTTTAGGTAATAATAGCACAACCGCGCCTCTGATAAGAAACCGGGTCGCTTGAAACTTGAGTCTCTTGTCGGTGATTTCCTCTGCAAATCCTAATTAATGTACTTGGGATACCAGCTACATATTCATCCCACAGTCTTGTCAGTCGTTGATTTGCTCGTATTGCCGTTCGTGATTTTGGTTATTTTATGTACTACATTTTTATAAAAATAAATGATGTTGTATAATTGCAAAATCGTATTAAAAATGTAAATCTATGTACTACATTTTTATAAAAATAAATGAAGTTGTATAATTGCAAAATCGTATTAAAAAAATGTTTATTTACGTTTGGTTTGCGGCATATTTCAATTAACTTATTCGTTATTTGTACTATTTTGTTAAATTATTTAATTACATTATTTATTATAGATAAGTTTAAAAAATAGTACAAAAATATAAATTATAAAACCATAGTAAATACTGTATAATAACATAGGCCTAACACATTTAAATTTATTGTTTATAGTCATGCAAAATCGTATTAAAAATGTAATAACTTGATTATTTTTTACGTTTGGTTTGCGGCGTATTTCAATTAACAATTAAATTGAAATAATTGAGTAAATAAACTGAAATACATCCCAAACAGCAGTACCAAAAACGAATAAGTTAATTAAAATACGCCACAATTAACGCACTACATTCACTGAGAGACGCGCTTGGCGTTCCATAGAAATGACCGGCGGCTCAACTTGTCGGCGGCTCAACCGGTCATAATCCGAGCTAGCCTAGGTCTCTAGAAACTAAAATAAAAATATTTTATATTTTTCTTCTGGTTGCCAAAAAATGAATAAATAAAATACAATAAATCCCATCAAAAAACTTTTAGGGCCTAGGGTCACAGACTACACTGTGATTCTGGCTGTTGCCGGTTGCTGCTCAACTGTCAGTCAGTTAATCTCTCTGTTTACAATTAAAGAAAAGTATATGTTATTTGTAGACCCAGGCTATGTAGGTTAGGCCTAGTAGTAAACCTTCTTATGTTATAAATATTACAAAATAATACAATAAACAAAAGCCTGATAACAATATTAATATCATAGTTTTTATTTTTTTATATCCCATAATCTATAATGACTTGATTGATTACCAATGGTAACTCGCTTAGAATTAGAATGTGGTAGGTTTTGTCAGATTCACAGCTTCTGTACCAAGGAAGTACAGTAGAACCTCGTTTTTACGTACCCCAGTTATACGAACCCTCGGTTTTACGTACGCCTCGTATCGACGATGACGTCATCAAAAACCCCGAAAGTATTCAAAACAAACGGCCCTTTTCAGAGCAACCATAAGTAAAAAGACTATAACAATATTACTATAACAATAAACAAACCATAATGCAACGTATTTTCATTAAACAGCAACGTTGATTGAGTCTAATACCGGGTTGTTATAATCCAAAAACCAAGTGAACTGAGTGAGATGAACAACTACCAATGGTGCTCAAAATAATTGCTTTCCTCCTTAGCTTTGTGTGGCAAACCATTGAAAATCTGGTCTGGTCTATAATTTTCTACACGAAGCTGGGTAGGTATATTTTCGTACACGAACGCTAATTGGTTGGCTCGCCCAGTGTAGTGCACATGGTTTTGCTGTTTCACGTACACGAACGCTAATTGGTTGGCTCGCCCAGTGCACATGGGTTTAGTTTGTCTCAACAGGCCCAGACAACACCACAGCTCTATTGTTTAGAATAGGTATGAAGGGGAATTCCCAAGTTATACCTTTGTCGTATAGGTAATCTTACAATATTTTCATGTTCTTTTGTTAAATAAAAGACATAAAGTGATGAATTAATACACTAGACACATGGTTTTATTTCAACACTTTATTATGACATCAAAGTGATGAATAAAAACACTAAACACATGGTTTTATTCGTAGGCCTTCGGAGGCTAGGTCTAGCCTAGCTGGTTAACATCGTTTGTTCATATATACGTATATTGAACGTTACGTACGTATTAGGTCAAAGGTTACCACAAATTTAACCCAACCTCTATTTTACGAATCCCCCGATTTACGTACGCCCTCCGGTCCCGTACCGTACATAAAATCGAGGTTCTACTGTACTCTACATAATAAAATCTGAAACTATGTTTTCACCTTGTCAACTTTGTTTTTATTGTGCACTTTTCATGGGTCCAGGCCCGGGGTTTATCATCAGTCTCAGCTTAACAAATTTCTTTAAGTCAAAAAAATTGATGTCCCTAAGCAAATATCTTAAGCTGATTTATTAAACCACTTTAGCAAAATCTTAGCTTAAAAATTGTCTTAGATGGCGCATGTGTACAATCGACTTTTTAATTTTAAGCAATTTTTAAGCTAAGCAATATTGGTACTGTAAGTCAGACTTAAGCGGAAAAAAGGGACGAATTTAAGCTGATTTCTAGTTTGATATTAAGTGTGCCTTGCTCAGGGTCTTAGGCAACATACACGGTGAAGGATTAAACCCCATCTAGCACTGAGGTTGAGGTCCTTATGACCCTATTTTTAGGCATGTCACATGTTTGTTTTTTTCTGCACATAGCTTTGCTTGCTATTTCTCAAAAGATTTTGTGTTGAGGTGGGGAAATTATTAGAAGAATGAGGCATCTTTGTGAAACAAGAAGTTTCTTTTTGTAACTCATGTACTGCAGCCCCTACTTGTAGTAAGAAAAAAATGTGCTTATGTAGTGAGAAACAGTGCATTATTTGTAAAAAAAAATATGCATTTTACAGATAGAAATACTTAGCAAAAATTGTACTCAAAAGAAAATTTATTGGTTATAACCTTTAGGTGATGTCAGAAATGCAGGAAGCAAGAACTGGTTCAAGACGTCAGTACAAGGGACGATATTCCCAAGAAATCCTAAATTTGGCTTTTAGTAAAGTGAAATCTGGAGAGCTATCAACAAGGGCTGCGGCCAAGGCTTATGGAATTCCGAAATCAACTCTCCAAGACAAGGTACAAGGAGTAAGACCCTTAACAGCAAAGTCTGGCCCAGATCCTGTACTAACAAAAACAGAAGAATTGAAGCTAGTCACTTGGATAAAGCAGATGACCAAGATAAAATATGGGCGTATCAGACAAGAATTGGTGCTAGCTGTAAAAAAAATTCTAGATGAAGATGGCCGCGAAAACACTTTTCCGAACAATACACCAGGAAGACAATGGATTCGAAATTTTATGCGGCGGAATCCAGGCCTCACATTGGAAATTCCAGAGCGTGTTCTTAAGGGAAGACGAGCAGCAATAACAGTGGAAGAAATAAGCAACTGGTTCTACGAATGTCAAAAGTTCATGCTTGAAAAGCGGGTGGCCGAATCTTTCGCTGATCCAGCCCGAATTTTTAACGCAGATGAAATCGGGTTTCCTCTTATTGGACAAGCTGATTGCATTATGGCTCCAAAGATCGCTGGAAACCCATACCAACAAACATCTTCTACAAAACATCAGATAACTGTCATTGGTGCCGGCAATGCCTTGGGACAATTTATACCGCCATTAATAATCTTTCCTGACAGCAGTTTTGGATTCAATCCCCTTAGAGGAGCCCCAGAGCATTCTGCATTCGCCAAGTCATTATCTGGCTGGAACAACTCTGATATTTTCTTTGAGTATATATCTAATCACTTTTGTCCTTACGTTAAATCTCTTGAAGTTAGTTTTCCAATTATTTTGTTCGTGGATGATCACACATCGTATATTAGCCCCGAGACATCCACATTTTGCGCTGATGAAGACATTGTTTTATTTTGTTTACCTAATCACACAAGTCATTTAATTCATCCCCTGAATGTGTCGGTTTACAAATCAATAAAGACTGCTTGGGCTGAAGAGCACCCTGACGAGGGCGTGAACAAGCAGTCGTTTGCTTCAGTGTTCGCCGCCGCTTGGAAAGAAGGAGCAAATGCCGAAATCGCCATCAAGGGCTTCCAAAAATGTGGGTTGTACCCATTTGACCCTAAAGCCATTGACAGTGAAGAGTTGATACAAGATTCAAGTTACAGGATACCAACATCACCAGAAGCATCAGAAACATCAATGACAATGCCATCAGAATCCATACCACCATGGGAAGCTGCAAAAGCTGCACTTGGTGCCCTTGAATCAGCGATGGGGGATACATTAGTAGTCACCTATAAACGCCGTTTGGATGAGGCATATGAGTGTACAGATGAACCACTGTACGAAACATGGAAAAAGCTTAGAAAAACAGCATCCCCTCCTTCTTCGCCATCACTTGGACAATATCCAGATTCATCCACATCTGCGAATGTTTCACCAGCTCTGGAACAAAATCATATCTTCCCTCAAAGGCAGATCCTGGCTGGAGAAAAAACTCTAAATCCATCCAATGTCATTTCTGTATCTGTTTTTCCAGAATATATTGATAAAGCACAGACTAAAGAAGAAGCAGAAGAAAAAAAAACAGATCTAAATGAACATTAGAAATAGCACAAAAAGAAAAATAAAAGATGACTAGGCGAGGTGTTGTCAGAAATATTTGCTATGAATAGCAGTAACTGAATACAGGTTATGAATAGTGCTCTGCTAGTATGTTGTAAACATACAGTTAATATGGATGCAAATGACAAGATCATTGTGGACTTAATGAAGGAACAAATGTAGATTGGAATGTGCCAAATGTTTGTGAAGAAACAGTACTATTTATGTAATCTAATCGTTAATGTCTGTTGGTGTCTTAGCACAAGATACATCATCCATACTATAATATCTCAAAACGTAATCTGATGATTTGACCATTTTTTTTTTTAACCATAATATCTCAAAACATCTGATGATTTGACTATTTTTTTTTTCCAACATGAAATAAAATTAAAATTGTATCACTGCAACTTTAAAACAGAAATGATGTCTTAGGGAATAGTTTTACCTGATAGCCAGCTAGTTATACTCAATATATACCAACGATTCATATATCCTGGGCATATGATTGGTTAAAAATGCAGGTGTAATGCTGCTATTTTTAAATATGCGTACAGTAATCATTATAGCTCACATACCATCAATTGTCGAACTCGTATATACTGACAGATTCTGGTCTAGGCCAGAAAATACTAAGGAGCAAGTATAATTCATGCTTAGTTTCAATGCCTAAAATGTTATATTCACTATATTCATCAACAAAATGCCTAAATCTGTGTAGCGTAAAATAAAAAGTCATTTTTTAATTTTAACTCAACCTAAAGCCCCGTTTTTTAAAAATGTTTAATCATTACAACTTTTAATTTTACATTGTTGCAGCATACAGGATTACAAAATATTATTTTAATATACTGCACACTTATATTAGTTAAAGAATTTAAATTGTATTAAGATCTCATTTTGAGACATAGTACAGTACCAAGGCTATAGTTTGAAACATCCCTTTCAATGCAGGCAATGTCTGTATACTACTCTAGTTCCTCATGGGATAAAGCCTACTTACTTGAACACAAAGCTGAGTTTATCATGTGTGTGGGGAGGGGGGGTCCTCTGTTCATTAAAAAGCTTTGGAAAAGGCCTCAATAAGACAGATTTTCAACTAATCACCAATTCAAAGCCAACCCTTGATTTTTTTTAAGTACTGTATTATCGGCTAGCCACTCACTCAAATCATACTCTGTGGTTTCGTCTGGGGGTTGCTGGTATGTGAAATTGGGTGCAGAAGGGGTGGTGACCTTAAACCATAAATGGGCTAAAGATTTGTCTACACTATCAAATTTAGGGCTGTAAAAAGGTGGTGGTCCTAGGTCTGGGACTTGAGTATTTTAGGGCTGGGCTAGCAAAAAATACATTAAAACTAGACCATTATTCAATAATGTAAGGACTAGCAATTCTTTTAGCAATACTAGACCTTGGTCCAGTAAAAAAAACCCAACTTTTTACAGCTCTGAAATTTCATCAAAAAAGCATACAAACCTTGTATGCGCACATCGTCACAAAATTTGATAGTGTAGACAAATTGGAAATATAGTAGGTGTATTATATGACTTCATCATTAAAATACTTTTGTACTATGTTTAAGTGAAATAATTGATTTGATATGATACTAGTATATGATATATATTAATCTGTATGGTAGTCAAAATGAAATACACAATATCAATTTGGCCTAATATGATTGACAATATACATGCTAATATTAGTAAATTCAAAGCACTTGAAGTGGGCAGATATCATAGAATTTTGCCACCCCCCTCTTTCTCACTATCTGAAATTAATTGTGAATTAAATCCCTTAGTGCTGAATTCACCAGAGATTTTGTACCCCCAGCTGACCCTCCCCTATTTAAGAAATCCAGCCTTTAGAACTCAAAATTCACTATGTATGAGTGTTATGTACATAGGATAGGCCAAATTACTTTGGGGTGGTGGTTTGGGGGGGAGGGGGAGTGGAATTCCTTCTGAAACCGGCACTATCTCTATCTGTATTGTTCTTTTATACCTGTATAAAGCTGTAATAAAGATTACATTTTTAGTCAAAATGATTTCATCTGTCATTACTTTAGTCAAAACTGGAGTTGTTCACACACACACACACACTCACACTTATAGAGGACAAATAAATACACACTGCCATGACAACTGTGAGGGAAAATAGAAGTGATTAAATTTTGCAGTGTATTATTATTATTAAACTGTACTCTAAAATTATCTTTGAAGCACTGAGTTTTTCTCCAAATTCCATTTTTATGTGCATCTTTTGACAATATCAAATAATGTGCAGGCCGGTATAAAAGCATCTACTGTACTAAAAAGGTTCAATATAGTCCTTTTGGGGTTGTATCTCATCAGCTAAACTGGTGGTAGCCACTCAGTGTGTGCGCTGAACTGTCAAGACCATTTTCAGACCTCCTTGTGTATATAAAGTTCAGTTAAACCAAAGTTCATTAAACTAAATAGGATAATATTAAAATATATTTTAAACTAGAATTTAAAAATACAAAAAATAATGTACTATTTTATTTTAATAATGATTAGTATTATCTCAACATAAATTAATTGTGATTATTTTCATCAGATTGAAGTATAAGTTTGGTGAGGCTAGACCTTTCATTATGGAGACTTCCTTAGGACTTGCCGGTATAACTGCATTGTCGGAGCTACTTAAACCGCCAGGATCTGGGGATAGTGATGGTGATGAAGACAAGGTACACATTTGATTCCCCTGAAGGCGTATGCCGGGGTTGAATACGGCCTGGTGCACACTACGTTGGCTGAAGAATTTGCGCTATGTGCTTGCTTGATGCAATGTACAAGCCCTTGCTTGATGCAATGTACAGGCCCTTGCTTGATAACGTTTGTATGCTTACCATCGGTAGTAGTTTGAAAGGATCTTTGTTAAAAATGATCCAGGGGCGAATATATGGCAGGGGGCATGCAACATAGTTGCAAAATAAAATCAATAGGAGTACATAAATTAAAACTTTTATAGAGGTACTGTATCATCCAGCGCTTTTGAACCATTTTATTTTCTGATTTTCCAATTCTTCCTTTCTTTTCTTTTCTATTTTATTGTTGGGAGGGAAGACTCTATTCCCCATGGCCTCACTGGATCCGCCCCTGTGATCTGTCATGTGTCACGCAGTGTATGCGCCTGACTTTTATTTTTGGGCCAATACAAAACAAAAAATATTAAATAATAAATAAATAATAACAATTGGTGATACATTATATATCACTAACATGTATGGCTGGCATATATAGTGCCGGATTAAGCATCGTCTGGCCTCAAGGCACATTTTGGAAATGGCCCAAAAATGTTAATTGAATGGACTCCATGGTAATAATTACGAAATGTAAAAACCCAGCTACCGTAATTACAAAATCTTTCGTGTCGGAGAGAAGCGTTACTCTGCCACAACTCTAACAGTAGAATGGCTCCGATTTTTCTGGCCTAATAATACCGGAAAATAGAGTGTAAATAATATTGCAGTCCAACTTTTGATGGCCCATCATTTTCGCCTGGCCCACAAGGCTTGTGCCTTAATTGCCTAATGGTTAATCCGGCACTGCATATACTGGAAAATGACCCAACAATTAGCGAACATGCCTGTTACAGACTTTAAATGCAACAATAGGTAGTAGGAACATAATATCTAGAAGTGCAGATGTGCATTAGTCCCTGTCCAGGCTATCTAATTTTATTTGAAAAAAAAACATGTGACATCACATCATGAACAAATATAGGCACACCATGACTATATATGGGCATAAAACAGTTTTTTTTCAAAGAAAATTTGATAGTCTGGAACAGAGCTTTAGAATATAAGTATGAATAAAAAGTATGGAAATTGGAGAAAAACAGCTTCAAAGATAAACCACTTAAGAACACTATATACCAAAGTGCTCATGATTGATTGGATATTTTTTGGTGTGAAACGTACTAAGGATATGGCTTAAGAAAGTCCATAGACATTTCTATTGGGGTAGTTCTGGTGGTGAATAGTACAGTACATTTTCAAAATTTTGGGTTTGTCGGGCCAAATTTGCTAAATTGGATTCTTCATAAAATGAAAAGGCTTACCAGAACTAAATAATACATTATTCAGAAAGCTGGCCAATATCACACACAGATACAAATGGTAATTTTCTATACAGTAATCATACTCGTCACAAAACAAAAACCTTGAAAAAAGGTTTTTTTTCCAATACATTGACTGTACTACATTACTCAACAGCCAGTATCACGCACAGCTCAACAGGGCCCAGGAAGCATCGGACCACCAAAAAAACCACCAACTGCTGCAAAAGGTGAGTTTGCATGCATGACCTTGGATGGTCTTTTTTTCAAGATTACCTGCAAACTCAAGAGAAGGGCTTCTTTTCAATATGAATGTTGTAAATTTTGGAATTGTTACTACAGTATATACAACATTTTGAATTCAAAATTCTGTTGAATATTTTAAAAAATTAATCATGGTACTACAGTACAATGAAATAATATTGATATTGGCATGCTATCATAATAACTAATGATATAACATCAGCTTGAATGTGAGTACTCGAAAAAAGCCCATATTGTATATACAGTATAATTCTTTAATTTTATTTAAATTTTAGTAGGAATTTATAATAATGGTATAGTTTTACATAACGAATGAAAAATATTTTATTTGATTTGTTATTTGATTAATCTGAATGATATTTATGACCAAATGTTATATTAATTAACTGTACTGTAATTTTGACCACATCATCATCATCAGGCAGTCAAGCAGAATGTTCTTAGTACAGAGAATGTAGAGTACAAATGAAACAAACATGCAACAAAAGAGCTTGCATCATAAACAAAAAATATCTAAATGTTACTTTTTCACTAATTGATTGTTCTTCCTAATATATAAAGACAGTACTCCAGCAACGAAGAAAAACAGCAAAGATATTTGGGATGTAGAAGAAGTGCAGGAGGGAGCTGAATATGACGATGTTGATGATCCAAGACCACAACCAGAGTAAGACTTTCTTTTATAGAGCATCTACTCTAGTGACTACAGAACTGTATTTGGAAAAAATGGATATTCTCAAGCCTGTAGCCAGGGCAGTTTGAGGGGAAAGAACTCCTCTTTTCCAGAAATGCCCTTTTAAGTTATTAAAAAGTACCATTTGCATGTTAGTTGTTGAAATTAACTCTTAAAATGTTTTAAATTTGGCATTTTTATTGCAATCTTCCAACATCTTGAGGTGTTATATCTTTAAAATTTACCCCAACTTTGGTGGGTGTAAAATTAGAAAACCCACTCTCCTTTGAAATCCTGCCTATAGGCTTGATTCTGGAAAGAGAATCTAACCTTCCCACTTTTGAACCTTATACCTACAAGACTACTTCTACTGTATTTCTTTTTGATTTTTTTCTGTTGGGGACAGTGGTGATGTCAGCAATGGGGAAGGGGTACAGAAGGTTCTCCCTCCCTGTCAGCCACAGCTTTAAACGTAAAGTTCTAAATAACAAAACTTCAACACCATCTGTTTGTATGTAGTGTTTAACTATGACAACCCTACCATATTCTAACACTTTCTAAACTTTAGAGGGTGTTAGACAAAAAAATAATGAAGCATTATGATATTTAATATGCATCCCGTGTAAATACTATCCATTACTTTTACAGATATGAGATAATTTTCAAACAAAAGGTTGCCACGGAAGACATGTTCTTGGGGATGGGCAACAAAACCAATGCTACATCATCATGTGAGGATATTGTTGTAAGTTTCTTGTTTATCTCTTTAAAAAAAAATTATAGCCATTCTAAGACACAAAAAATGGTGACAAAAAACTAGGGAATAGTTAATGAGATAGATTTTTTAATACATTTTTTAATATCCCTCTAGGTAAAGACCACTGTTTGGACCGGGCTTTTCGTGGTCTTTAGCGGCTTTGGACTCTCATTAGAACAATTAACATTAACATTTGTTAATTTAGGACCACAGAATAGTGTTCTTTAATTGGAGGTGGTCCTTAAATGGAACCTGGGTCTTTCATTGGAGGGAGACATGTGTTTAAAAACTGGCTTAACCACCATATTTTCCACACCCTCCCCCTTGCCCCCCCCCCCAGTTTACATTTAAAAATCTGAATCTCATTAACCATAGAAAATCAACTGTACAAAGTATAATTTTTTTTTCTCTCTCTGGAGCCTGTCTTTAAGCAACACTGACTTACCATTTCTCCTAAACTTGGAAAATTCTTACTAAACTTTTTTTTTTAACTTGAAAGCTAACGGATTAAATTAGCTTTTAGTTTACAGTATTATGTTACTTTTTATTACAGAAATGAATATACAGTACTATGCTGGTCTAATAGTTTTTAGACACTTCATATTATGTTTGTTTATATGGAACACTCCTACTATCTAGTAATCATTGTTTGAATA